GACCGAACTTGATCAGAGCGGACGCGGCACCACCACCGGGCATTTTGGGAATGTTAACATTGTTTAGATTCATCTTTGTAGACCCTGGAAGAAACTAGTGGAATAATCATACATCATTTCTTTTGTTCTGCTTTTCAGAAGAGAAATGAGATGTTTTAAGACTGCGGGAGACGCCATACCTTGTGATGAAGACGGAGAGGCGAGAGAGGAGCGAGTTCCACACACTACAGGGCAGCTGTGAAGAATGAGGTGGTCAGATTTATGAGGGGTTTATGTATTTGGGCTGTTTCTTGCTGTGTTGTTTGGGTTATCTTGGAGTATTGAGCAAGCTAGTGGTTTTAGATGTTCCCTCCGTCCTCCATTTACTCCCCAATTTACTGAGCCCCATAATTTAGGAAATTGAGTATTTGAGTTTCCACCCCACTTTACAGGCAATTAGTTCAACCTAATAGCACGGAAACGGGAAACGTGAAACGAGAAACGGGAAACGCGAGAAACACAATTTCTAAAAAATATAGGACACGAAACGTTTGGGAAACACGTAAATATTATAAAATATAAGGATATTGATGGAGTACATGGCCCAGGAACCTCCGGTCCATAGACTCCTACTACTCTATCACAGGCCCAACAAGCCCAATAAACTCAGGAGGCCCAAAGTGCTGCGGCCCAAGTTCAAAGTGGCCCACGGAACACCCAGGGTAGCCTTCGGCAATATGGCCGAAGGCTCCAAAACTCACAGAACAGCCATATTTGAGCATACGAAGCTACTGGGAGAAAATGACATAAAACAGGAGCCTTCGGCACTGTTGAGCCCTCGGCATCAGAGAAGCCTTCGGTTGAACCAAGCCTTCGGGTATACAGAGCCTTCGGCCACACGAAGCCCTCGGCTGCATGAAGAGTCTTCGGTTAAACAGACTCAATCGTCGAAAATTCCCTTTGGAGACAGCCAACCACCGCATTTAATGCGACGTCACATCCACCCACCTCATTTAATGCGGTGCACGTGCGATTGCCAATGCCACCCCGATTGAGGTGACCCCTCGGTCGTTAGATTATCGCCACGTGTACTCTCATCGCATTTATTGCTACTATAAATAGCACTCCCTTTCCCCATTGTAAAGGACCAGAACATCTCGAGTTCATAAATAAAATCGCCTCTCTCGCCTACTTGTTTGCTCTGACTTCTCTCTAAGTTATTCCCGCAATAATCCCTCGGATAAGCTACCCCCGGGTACACTGTCCATCAGATATATTTATAAATATTTTTTAATATATGTACACAAGTTTTTCCATATGCACATGTTTTTTTTAATATAATTTGTTTAGTAACCAAATAATAAAATCACTCTACATGTTCGAATTTAGATATTATTTCATATTAGTGCATAATTAAACATAAAATGTACGGAGTAATACATTTCTAGCAATACATTGCATTACGAAATGTAACAAGTGTTGCCGCTGAGAAATACCACAAAAATTCACTATAAAAAATTATTTCCCACCACAGAATCTTTTGAAAAAAGAAAAAAAATTGGAATCCGAGGTTTCGAAACGTAGTGAAACGGGTTTCCAAATTTTTCTTAATTACGGAAACGGCCCCGAAACGGGAATTTGAAGTTTCTGAATTTCCGAAACGCTTCCGAGTTTCCGAAACGTGGAAACGTAAGCCATGGAGAGTTTCCGTGCTTCCTAGAGTTCAACCAAACAATTTCCCGGCATGGATATCTTGTTTTAATCCGACACAATTATTAGTAAAGTGATTAGAAAATATAAAATTAATTGACGTTTCGAATAGAATACAGTGGAATTAGACCATATATTTTATAATAAAAAGGAAAAGTAAGACATCCACAATGGAATGAAGAGTGTCTTAAGAAGGGAGTATGAAGATATTTATTGTTACGTGAGCAGTGCACTTCTAAGTTAGATCGATTACATGTAGGGGTGGGTTTGGTTCAAACTGTTCAGTTTTCACCTAAAACCAAATGCCAAACCAAAGTAAAAAGTTCGGTTCGGTTCGGTTTTATGTTCAAAAATTTGGAACCACAGTTTGTTCAGTTCGGTTTATTTCGATTCAGTTTCGTTTTTTTTCGGTTTTACCAGAGTATTTTTGTTGATTAGAAAAATAGTAATTGGAAATTAAACTACACCAAACTAGTACTAATACTAATACAATACAAAAACATACATAATTAAAAAAAGAGAGAAGAAATAAATGCACTTCCAAGCAATGAATTAGAGAGCATGTGTATACCAATTTAAATATTTTAAAAATTAATTAAATGCATGAGTTTATTTGTGAATTATATACAGAGTATTCACAAGTTAAAATCTTATTAGTAAATAACTTAATCTACCCTTTTTAGCCAAATATATTTATGCTCTAAAGTTTCACATTTTCTGCTATGTTGTTTAAAATATAGTTTATATTAATACATATTTGTTCAATATAAAAAATTATGTGATAACAAACATACATACCATATAATATATCAACAAAGTATCATTGTCATGCAACAACAAACAAAATGTAAATTACGATTTAAAATATTACTAGTAACATATTAGTATTATAGGAACAGACTTACGTTTATGTACAAGTGTTTCACTTAATTAAGCAATAAATATTAAATGTCAATATCTTGCAAATCATGATAAATCAATGATTAATAAATAAAATAACAACTTTTAAAAAGTTCGGTTTTTTCGGTTCGGTTCGGTTTTGAGATGTGAAAACCGAAATCAAACAACTATGGTTCGGTTTGATTTTTTTAGTTCGGTTTCGATTTTCTTGCGGTTCGGTTGTTATGGTTGCGGTTCGAGTTTTTTTCGATTCGATTTTCGGTTTCTCCGACCCACCCCTAATTAGTAATTACATTGAATCTCGTATTAGGCGTTTTAGAATTTCAAATAAATCGAATAAGTACAAAGGCTTTTTCCTTGCATATTACCTAATTGAAGCTAATTCCCAAAAATGGTTTTTTTATAAAAGGACAAAAATGTGACTAAGAAGGTCACATAGATCGAAAAACATGATGTCACTGCTTTTTTATGTCACTGCCAGATTGTTATGTTACTGTCAGATTTTTATGTCACTTTGAATGTCACTGTAACCGTCAGAAATTTTCCGACAACCTTTTCCGATGAAACTGTGCACCACCAACGGTGCTCCCGCTAGCCACATTTTTCATGTCACTGCGGTTATTTCGTGTCACTATGATTTGTCACTGCCAAATTCTGATGTCACTCACGGATGTGGCTGTCATCAGAAAACATATCACTATAATCCTTTCCGTTCAGTCAAATTGTTGCCGCCAACATCGCAGCCGACCTCCGACACCTCGACACACACACAGCCCCCACACACCAGGCAACCACCACTGATGACAACCGCCGCCCTAACCGTGACCACACCAGTCCCTACCCAGCCCACTCCCCCATCAGCCCCTCCCCATCCCAACACACACAGCCCCCACACACCAGGCAACCACCACTGATAGGCAACCACCCCTGATGACAACCGTCGCCCTAACCGTGACCACACCAGTCTCTACCCAGCCCACTCCCCCACCAGCCCCTCCCCATCCCAACAGCCCCCCCCCCCCCCCCCACTCCCAAGCCTACCATCCCCCTTCTACGGCCCCCCCCATCCCAGCAATCACCGCCCATTCCTTGCCCACCCCTCTCCCCAGCCCACCCCCCCCCCCTCCCCTGCCCGTTAGCCCCTCTAAGCTCCCAACCCATGACACTGCCGCATCGAATCACCACGCCACCACTGCCCACCCAAGCGCAACTCTAGCCGCCGACACCAGATTTGAAACTCTAGCCAAATAATATCACCGCTCGTATCAGATCTGAAACCCCAACCTATTGAATCTCCGTCGCAATTGAAGCACCCTAGCCACCACCGTCGTTTTTGTACTGAATCGTTGCCTCCATCTCCGATGGAGAGGTCGTGTCGGAGAAGAAGAACAATACGGAGGACGGTCGTGAGCATAGAAGGTGCAAAGAGATCGACGGAGGGAGAATGGGAAGCAGAGAGAAGACGCAGATAGATGCAAAGATCGTGTCGAGGAAGAAGCACGATGCGGGAGCCGAATGCTGGGTTCGACTTGGGATAGTAGACTTGGACACTTTTTGTCAAAAGTATAAAATGTTCATATTTTTGTCTATTCAAACTCCCTAACTAATATTTATGTCATTCTTTTTAAGTACAAATGTAATACTTTATTGTCTCAATCTTTTTTGTCCGTGTTAGACATTTATTGCACTAACATTTGGTGTCGTACGATATGATTTGAAAATGTGTATAAAAATTACTACATACTTTATTTTTTGACACGGACAATTTTCTGCATGCTTCTATAAACTGATTTTTTTGGACTGACATTTTTTATCCGTCGTAACATTATACATGCAAAAATTGGTTATGCAAAGGATTTTGAAAACGTGCACAAAAAATATATGAAGTACTCCTTCCGTCCCCAATTAAATGTTCCATTTTACCATATTGGGATGTCCCTATTTAAATGTCTCATACCTCATTTGGTAAAGTTTGTGTGGTTCAAAATCATTCTTACTTTATTCTTACTTTATTCCTACTTTATCAATTAATATCAACCACACAAACCCACTTTTTTTAAAACTCGTGTCACCCTCTTCCGAGACTTTTAAAAGGGGACGGAGGGAGTAACTGATAACTTATTTGATTTTTGAAATTAGAATAGTAAAAATTGTGTGATTCAAATTTGTGCAAAAGAAGAGAAGCGAAAAGAGTAAGAAATTCATTGCTTTAAAAGAAAAATTGTGTAAAACAAAATAAAGATAAGGGTTAAATAGGTATATAGCTTACATAAATATGAGAAGACAAATTATAAATTCCCATACAATAGAGGTAGTTAAAAAAAAGAGTAATAATAGCAAAAAAATGGGTGATAGACTGATAGGTCTCCTTTCCACGATTCCTCCCTAGTCCCTATTGGCAAATGTGTCCATACAACGAAGGGATGGCGGGGAAAGAGAGAAAGATACTCGTAAATGTTTCCTGGTGGGACCCAGGGGGAGAAGTTTCTCTCGTTTCAACTGATCCGCCATCCACGCAACTCTACTTTCTATCTTTGTTTACCACCGCAACTGTCTGTGATCGATGGATCTTAACTGGTAACAACAATATACGTCCTCTCTTCACTCTCTTGTAGGAAAGACGGGCCTCACCTCAGCTGGAAACTACCGCCATGGCCTTCAATTCTACCAATTCTCCTCCAAAATCCAGAGTCAGTCTTTCTTCTTTCACAATTTACACTGTTATTATCCAAGCCGTTTTCCGTCACGCTGATCACACATATGTGGATATTTGTACCTTGTTCTTAGACTTTCCTAATTGCCTGATCATCCAGGATTGCTATATATGTATATTTTTCATTTCCTTTATTACGAGCATCAGCTTCAATCATTTAAAAGGAATGTTTCTGGAACTTACGGATTAATTACCAAAGTTTGACCTTGCTCCGGTATAGGAAATTTAGGGTTTCGTTCTCAATGATGACCAAGAGGCAAAAAGAAAAGTAGAAAACTTTGCTCCTAATCAAACTGGGGTTTTTTAATGGGGACCAAATTTAATAATTTTGGCATGTTCGTACTTCCAAGGCATTGCCTTGCATCTGAAAATGGATTGTATTTGCACTGCTTACCTAAAATATAACTGTGGATTGATAAGTGTTCCGGGTTATAGCACGTATACACTGCGATTACCTTTTAGAGAGTCATTCATTAATACTATGACTGTGACTTGTGTATGCATTGATTAGTTGATTACCCTTTTTTCTTACTGATTAATGACTGCTATCTTTAAACCATTTTATTATTGTGCGTTGGGTGGGTTGCTGCATGAAGAACAAGGACCTCATCCTTTACCGTACCCCTTTTACTTTTTTCTCCCTTGACAGATACCATCTGGAGAACTAGACAGTGATACTTTGAAGGAATTGCAGTTCAGAATAAATCAACTCAAGAAGCAAATCCAATCCGAGAGAATTTTTTCAGTAAAAGTATTTGCTAATTGCTATTTACTCCATGTTTGAGGCTATCATTTTCTAGTTTGTTCCTTTTAATACTCCGTATATGATTTGTCATTTTATCCGCTTGGGCTCTTACCAATTGGGTGTCTTGTTTCTTAAACAGGCACATGTTGAGGGGAACACCCTGAGGCTAGAAACTCATGCATCTGAACTTCTGGCGTTGTCTGCATCCAGAACCGTTACTTCATTTTGTGAGAATAGTGAGTCGGGTGAAATGCTCTCCTCCAGAATTGCAAACCCCATCTGCAAATTTAGTGGACTTATACAAGCATCTGGAGAGAGAGACTGTGGTAATGGTGGCCAAGAAGTAGTAGTATCTACGACAACTGCCAAGCTCCCATTTATTCAGAAACTACCTCCATACACCACTTGGGTGTTCTTAGATCGGTACTTAAACAATCATATTGAAATGCTATATTTTATTATATTTTATTTCAATTAAGAATATCAAGCTGCGTTAGTTTTTAAAATCTAAAATTCATCACCACATGTCTCATAAACTAGAACTTGTAAAATTCAAGAGAACCATTGATTTGTATATCTCAGGAGATTGAAATTTCGGGAGCAAACGAGGAACAAAGTTGCTATAGATTTACACATTTAACAGTAAGATATAGAATCAAAAGTTTGGGAGCAAATGAGCAATTTACATGCCATTTGTTTAAAGTTGTGTCCTAGTTATTGCATAGCTGTGTGAAGTTTAATCTCAAATAGTTGAGAGAAAATACAAATTTGCACTGCAACAATCTTTAAAAGGTTATGAGAGGTAGTTGTGATACATCTCATATTTTCTCTTTCATATGACCCAAGTACCCAACACCTTTGAGGCTGATTGGGTATATCGTGAAATCTACTCGTTGGCGAGGGGAGCTGAGTGGATCAGGTTTTGATAATAATAATAGTCCAATTTTATATGTCAGCATCATAGTTGGTGTGTCATGCTTTTTCTGCATTGCTGTCTGTCACAATCTTTGGTTGTTTCGTATCTAGAGGTGTTGGCAAATACTTATTCAGTACCAATAATAGTATCACAATAAGATGATGTATATATGCTCTATTCCTCTAAATATTTATTCATAATGCACAGAAATCAGAGAATGGCTGAAGACCAATCGGTACTTGGAAGGCGGCGTATTTATTATGATCAACATGGGAGTGAGGCACTAATCTGCAGCGACAGTGAAGAAGAGAATGCAGAAACAGAGATAAAGAAGCGTGATTTCTCTGAAGGAGAAGATAGAATTATAAGGTACTTCAAAATTGATATTGGTATCATTTTGACTTGAATTTGTAGCTGTACTCTAATCTTGTAGAAAAGTTGAGGTTTAATACATCAGCACATGTTTCCTACTCAAAATAGCTCATTTATGTTAACATTACATGTGGAGACCAAATCTTGTATTTTAATTAGGATAAAAATGTCAATAGTACCCCCCTCCGTCAGTCCTTCGCGTAATTATCTTCACACTTTCCTTTTTTGTTCATCTCAAAATAGATTTCATTTTCCTTTTATGTCAAAGAATTTGTGGTTCATAACATTTCTCTGCTTTGAACCACACCGTTCTCACTTTCTTGATCTATGTGAAAAGTCAAAACCATAGTTAATAATGGGGTGGATGGAGTATTTTAGTTATTCGCTTTACCGGTTTTTTTTAGGATGGCTTTACAAGAGTACATGATAAGTGAAGAGGTTCTTAACATGTTGGCGCAATTTATTGGAGGATCCACTAACGAAATCCAGGTAATGAGTTTCTTCTCAGACCCCCGCCATTTCATGAACTTTCAAAGTGGATGCCTGAAATTTTACAGCTATACTTTCTAAGAGTGTTATCTGCTTTATGTATTGTGTATTGTGATATTCAGGACCGGTGCAATATGCTTGAGGGCAAATACACTGAAGCAGAAAAAAGCATAAAAGTTTTGGGGGAGAGAGGTTCTGGGAGCCAACTCCTGGAGAAAAGCCTTAACACTGCCTTGGATTCTTTTGATAATCTTTTCTGCCGCCGTTGTTTGGTAAGCCTTAAGAACTTTGATTTTAATTTCACGTAAAAATTATTGTGCCGACTGATAACAGCTTTAATTTGATAATCAGGTGTTTGATTGTCGTCTACATGGTTGTTCTCAAGTTCTCATTGATGCTGTATGTGGGCTTTCTACCATACCTGATTTTATAGAACTTTTAGTTTTTCAGATGAAACAAGTCTCACAATCATTTCACGTGCCAGAGCGAGAAGCAGTTGTGCTCTTTTGACAATGAAGTTCATGCAAAACCATGCAGCAACCAGTGCTATCTTCAGGTAGGAGTTTTGTTATCAGGGTATTGCTACACATGCCCCACCTTCAATACCATCATTTTCTGTTCACAGAGACACTCATAGACATGAGAACACTCACAAACAACAACAAAACAACAACATTACCCCACTGTTGCAAAGGCTCCCACCTACAGTGGAGTAAGGGGGGTTGGATGTGCGTAGCCGTACCCCTATACTAAAGTAGAGAGATTGCTTCATAAGTCATAACTAAGAAGCACAGAAAGTTTAGTGAGCCATTTTGCTTTATTCCGTCATGAGAACATAATTATGTTTGTGAGTATCTGTCAAAAAATGGTGTTGGTGGCAGATGTGATGTTAAATAGTATTTTCATTGATATCATCATGTTGTTTGTGAATGCAATTCAGTTACCAAGATTTGACAGTTCTGAAGGGAGGAAGTGGAACTGTCTTGTTGTGGTTTGGTCATTTCTATACCTTAAATTTTAAGAAACAAGATTAAAATGTGAGAAAGGAATAGTGTAAAACATAAAGGTGCTATAACATAGAGTACTATTTATATGTAACTATCCAGGATGCTTGTGATACTATGTGAAATTGTGAGTAACCCTCTTTTTACTCACATTGTTTTTGATCTCTGATGGGGGAATACCTTTCTGTTCTTAGTTAAAAGTTTCTGGACTCTTGCGTGGAGATCCAGCCGTAGATCTTCCAGGTACATCTGAAAGCAAGATTTTAGAAGAAGAGTCCAAGAGTTTGGGCAGTCCCAGTGCCGCAAAAGAACGTAAAAGTAGAAACAATGATTGTTTTGATGAATGTGAGCTTCTCTCTTCTAAATATTTTTATGTGTATTTCTTTGTCTATTATTATGTGGGTCTGTACTTGTCTAATAGGTGAACATGCTGACATAAGTTCAAAACAAAAAGCATTAGATCCTACACATCCAACACCAGGAGACCAAAAACTGGTGTCTGATGAACTACAACGTGACCATAAAAATAAGAAACTGAAATGGTCAGCTCCTAGTTTCGTTGGTATGTCCATGGAATGTGTATCTGATGTAAATCACCTGAAGATGATCACTGATGATGAGTCGCATAAGCATTCATCAGAGGGCAGTAGTCTTGTAGTTATATCGGGAGGCAATACTGAGGCCAGTGAGAGAAGTGAGGAAGTAGCCACTCGTGACACTCCTAGGGAGAAACCAAACTCCAGCTTGAGAAGAGTACATGGTAAAGATGCGCTTGAAGTATCAGACTGGAAACCACTTGAGAAAGAATTGTATTTGAAGGGCATAGAGATATTTGGCAGAAACAGGTATCTGCTCTGAGTTTCTGTTCTTTATTTCATTGCTTATCCTAACAACAATATGTAGTTGATTAAAATCATATTTGTTTTTCTTTTGCAGCTGCCTCATAGCCAGGAACTTACTCCCTGGACTAAAATCATGCATTGAGGTTTCAAGTTACATGTATAATGATGGAGCAACAATGCATCATGGGTCCTCCGGAATTTCATGTTTCTTTTCTGGTCACAATTGGGAAGCTCAAATGGATCAAATGGTTTGTCAAATGTGATAAACTCTTTCTGCTCACTTTTAGTCAATCCAAGTGTTTTAGCTAAGCCTGTTTTAAAACCACTTAAGTATATATACTTAGGAGTCTGATATGCAAGCTAGATCTCGTTTACTTCGTAGAAGGGGCAGAGCTAGGAAGCTCAAGTACTCAACAAAGTCTTCTGGCCATCCGACAATGTGGAGAAGAGTTGTAGATGGGAAATATCAGTCTTCTAAGCAATATAGTCCATGCGGGTGCGAATCTATGTGTGGGAAGCAATGTCCTTGTTTACAGAACAGTACTTGTTGTGAAAAATATTGTGGGTACGCTCTTGTTTGTTTGATGAAATCCTTTGCTATTGTCATGGGTACCTGACTCATACATTGTCCATTTTAGGTGCTCAAAAGGCTGTAAAAACCGGTTTCGTGGGTGTCATTGTGCGAAGAGTCAATGCAGAAGCCGGCAGTGCCCTTGCTTTGCTGCTGGACGAGAATGTGATCCCGATGTTTGCCGCAATTGTTGGGTTAGGTAATGGATCCAATTCAATACAAATGTTCCTCCCTGCCCCCATCCACCTTAAAAATGGATGTAGTAGTAACCGCCCCAGTTTTTCTACTTATCTGACCCACATGGGGCCGGAGTCAGAAAAAAACTTTTCTTTGAACTTCGGTGGGCCTAGCCCCAACAGAACTCTCTGAACGCCCATGGGACCACAATTGCACCATAGTTTATTACCCTCCCATCCTAAAAAATACAAGAATGTTTCTGTTGTGTAAAGGACTAAAGATAGTGCTTGCATTTGCTTGTGGGAAGTGTTTTGTTCTAAAGTTTGTAGAGAAAGTGTCTAAATGTAAAAGTTGGTAGCATTTGAAAGTAAAAGTTATTTTTTAAAAAAAGTAGAAGTTAAAGTGTTATTTAAGAGATTATAGTAAATAAGTTTTTTTTGGTGTACTATTTAGTTAAAAAACTTTAGAAAAGTGGAAAGTGATTTTAGGCCCCCTTACCTCTGCTCAGAACTTTTGACTTTAATATGCTTAAAGTTAAGCAAAAGAATCTATGCTAACACACTACTTATAGGCTTATAGCAATGACTAGTGTTGTCAATTTCTCAGATGTCATTTATATTCTGTATTGGTTAATAGTCGGTGTTCCGTGTTCCACTATTGAAAATGCAGCTGTGGAGATGGTTCATTAGGTGAACCTCCTAGGCAAGGAGATGGTCAATGTGGCAACATGAGGCTGCTCTTGAGGCAGCAACAACGGGTGAATCCTGTTACCTGCTATAGAATTGGCTTAATGTTCAAGTCACTTATAATAACAACACAAGGAGTGATTGTTTTTCTTTCTGGTCCTTTTTGTCACAGATCCTCTTGGCAAGATCTGATGTTGCTGGATGGGGTGCCTTTCTGAAGGTACAAAACCCGTTCTCAATCCACCTCCCAGATACTACTTGTCTAATTAAATTAATATACGACTCTACATCTTTATAGAACCCTGTTAACAAAAATGATTATCTGGGAGAGTATACTGGTGAATTGATCTCACATCGAGAAGCAGATAAACGTGGGAAAATCTATGATCGCGCAAATTCTTCCTACCTTTTCGACTTGAATGATCAGGTAACTTTACAAGTACTCACATTTATTACACATCAAGGGTTAGTTTGAAATTCGATAACTGCGAGGGAAAGACAACAAGGAGGAATGTATATGAGAAGAGTGGAAGGAACAAAAATTGGTTGGAGAATAAGACAATTTGTTCAAACACAATAGATTTGTTTTTATATTTGTTCAAACTCAGTGTATTTATATATTTCTATTACATTATTTAAAGATTTAGAAACCACAAACACGTTAAAAAAACAATAATCAGATGTCCTTCGTGTTTGCTTTTCGTACGGTAAACTGAACACAACCATAAAGAGTGTGGTTGGTTTTTTGTGAGTTGACTTCGTCATGCTGCTATCTTTGCTGGCTGTGCAGTATGTGCTTGATGCGTACCGCAAAGGAGATAAACTTAAATTTGCAAATCATTCGTCAAATCCAAATTGCTATGCAAAGGTATGCAAATCACTTACATGGACCAGATCATTAATTTATTCAAATATCTATCTTTGGTTAAGTTTCTATATTAACAAGAGAGGATGGAGGATTTTTGTTCAGGTAATGCTGGTAGCAGGGGATCACCGGGTTGGCATCTTTGCCAAGGACCGTATTGAAGCAAGTGATGAGCTTTTTTATGATTACCGGTATGGCCCTGATCAAGCACCCTTATGGGCTCGCAAACCTGACCACCACCAGAAGAGAGACGGTTCTCCGTTACCACCACCTCAACAACTTCGTGCAAAGAAGCACCACCAAACGCTTCATTAACTAAAATATTTAACCGGGACTGTCTGAGCCAGGATATTGTCGTTTCACTTCTATTTTGTTGTAAACACAAGTGCAATAATACAATATTAGTGTAAATTGCAAAAAATGTACCTTGATTCATAGGATATTCATAGTAACCCATATAAAAAGATCATTATTCCTGGACCCCCCCAACTTCAATCTTAAACATTTTATACAAGTTAATGTAATTACGTTACTACAACAGTGTGTTCAGTTTGTTGGTTTCTCTCTCTTATTAAACTACCCATGTTCAAATTTCTGATGAGTACCAACTTTCTTCAGAGTTTTCTGTTCAATCATTCATAATATGAAATTATGAAGCCATTATCCTCTCAAATCTTACTAGAGCAGGTAGGCTCCTATTTAATTAGAATCATTGTGGCTAGAAGTGTTTATATGTTTATATTAACATAACGGTTAATAAATTTTACACAATTAACTCATTTCCATTTTTATGTTGATAAACACTTTGGGGGATGTTTGGCTATGAGCGTTACTGCGTTAGAGCCAAAAAGTTAATTCTCAAAACGCTACAAATGCAATAGTTGAGGTTTCCACGCAAGAGTTTTGCTAGGGGTACACAAAATGTGTACACATGTTCTCCTTTCACAGAAATTTTGTCTGTTACAGACAGTTCAAAAAAGACAAATTTTCTGTAAAGGACAGACATGTGTACACATTGTGTAGCCCAAACTAGGGGTGGATTCGGGCCGGTTCGGGCCTGGGCCCGGCCGGGCCTCGGGCCAAGAAAGTTGGGCCCGAGCCCGAACCGCCGGTGGGCGGTTCCGGTTCCGGTTCCGGGACAAGAAAGTTGGGCCCAAGCCCGAACCACCGGTGGGCGGTTCCGGTTCCGGTTCCGGGCCAAACCAGGTCGGGCCGGGCCGGTTCTATTTTTTTTTTTTTTGGGCTCTTCTATTTAACCCCCAACCCCTCCCCCTCAACCCCAAACCACCTCAAATGGCCCAAAATACCTAATCCAACCCAAAACTTAAAAAAAATTCAAAAAAAATTAAAAACCGGCCCGAACCGGCCGGGCCGGTTCACCAAAACCTGGGCCCGAGCCCGGACCACCCAGCAGCCGGGCCGGGCCGAACCGAGCCGGTGGACCCACCGGGCCCCGGGCCGGGCCGGGCCAAACAGTAACCGGGCCGGTTCCGGGCCGGGCCGCCCGGCCCGAGTCCACCACTAGCCCAAACATTTTTCTCCACCCAAATGCTGAAAAAAAAAAACGAAGCCTTAATAGTGTTGGACCCGTACCGGTACGATTCCGGACTCGGTACCGGCCAGTCCAATTCCGGGCTCGGTAGTCGGTACCGGCAAGTCCAGTTCCGGACCTGGTACCGGCCGGCCTCGTCCGGTTTGAGACCCCATACCGGCCGGACATGGTTATATTAAATGGGCCCCCAATACCGACCTGATTTGGTACGGTTCCGGTCCGGGTCGGGCCGCCCGGATCGAGTCCATGCCTAAGCCTTAAGGCCCTTAATCCGTATTTGTTCAAACAAACTGAAATGAAGAGTCCTTTTGATGACTTGGATTTTGGATACGGAAAATGCTAAGTATACACACCATGTACACAAGTTGTACATGGTATAAAAGCAAAAAAAAAAAATCTCATTTCTTCATCCCTCTTCTCCTCTCTCGGTTCTCTCTTCCTTCTCTCTTCTTCCTCTCCCCCTTCTCTCTTTCCTCTTTACCCAATCTCTTCTAAAATTCTCAACAACAACAAAAAATTATCTTCTTCATCCTCTTTTTCTCTACCTTTACTTAACAATTTTTTTTCATTATTTGCACAATATCAACTTATTCATCTTATTTCATATATTTTTATTATGTTTCTAATTTTATTCAAATTAATGTAAATTGATTACACATCCAACTACATCCTTCATTTGGATGTATATAGAAAATTGAGTTTTTGTTCACCTAGACAATTAAAATTGATCACACAGACAACTAAAGTTGATCACACAGACAACTATTGTCTGTGGAACGCACAACTATTGTCTATGTGGTAAAAGTTGTCTGTGCACACAGACAAATAATTGTTTGTGCAACATGAAAATATTGTCTGTGCACACAGGCACTGCACATATATTGATTGATTTGCAAGCTGATGTCAGTGTTAGGCAGCTGTCAGCGTACTTTTTACAAAAAGTAAATGTTTGTGGACACAAACAAAAGTTGTTTGTGTACACAGACAACTCTTGTCTGTGATCACAGACAATTCCGTATCAATTGTCTGTGATCGACATTTTGTGTACAAGTTGTGTACAACTTGTGTACCCCTAGCATGGTTGTTTTGGATACGGAGTATAAGATTGAATCTCAAGTAACTGCACACGTGGAAGTCTCCCATAAACCACTGCAGAGTCTGTAGTCAGTGGATAAAATAAACGATAAGAAATGTGCATCCAGGATTTGACCATCTACGGCTGAGGGCAGATTATAAATACCTCCAATTTAACCAACACATCAATTTCTTCAAATATCCAAACGTGACTTATGGCAACCATGACTACTGGCATCAACCTCACCGCCGCACACAGCGCCTCAGCCATGGCGGCGTGGCGCTCGGCGAAGCCCCAACCCGTGCAGTTGGCATGCCTAAACAACAACCACTTCCCTAAGGGGATGTCAATCGGATGCGGCGCCGGGAGGGTGCGTGTCCGGCCTGTGGCTGCCGCTTCCGACGGCCTCTCGGAGAAGGTGGCGGAGAGCGTGAAGAACGCAGAGGAAACCTGCGCTGGCGATCCGGAGAGCGGGGAGTGCGTGGCGGCTTGGGATGAGGTGGAGGAGCTCAGCGCCGCCGCAAGCCACGCGAGGGAGAGACAGAAAGCGAACAACCCATCAGATCCTTTGGAGAAGAAGAATTACTTCGACGGTAACAACAAGCCAAAGACAGAGGGTGATTAGATTTCGTGTTTAAGTGATTATCCAGTTTGTAATTTTGTATACTATACAACTATTATTATCTGTACTTGTGCTGGTGGATATACCACCTATCTTTCTCTCTCGTTGTATGATCAATTTTCTTATGGCGTGATTAGATGAATTGGTTAATTGATGTCTTTTTTTTCAATCTGGGTTCGGTGAGTACTGCAGTTAAGAAAATTGGCATTGATGAATTATGATTATCTCGTTATCAACTATGAATAATGATTTCTGCAACCGAATGGGTTGATGGCATGGACAAAAGTTTGGAATTTTCGGCTACCTCCGAAAGTCAAGCTATTTTTTTGGCAATTTGCAGCAGGTGTGCTGCCCACGGCTGATATTCTGGAGGCCAGACGTGTTCCAGTTTCAGGCCACTGCCCAGTGTGTAAAGTGGAGGAAGAGTCCTCTTTTCACTTGTTTTTAAAGTGCCCTGATGTTCACACTGTTTGGCGTGAAGCGGGGATTGCTACTGTGATTGCAGGGGGAGTATAGCAGGCTTTTTACAGAAGGTTTTTGCAGCTTTGGATGAGGAAAATACTTGCAGGTTCGCTATCATCCCATGGAGTATTTGGAAGTCTCGCAATGGGATTGTATGGAAAGGGGAGGCCTTTTCAACCGGAAGTGTTTTGAGTGCAGCGACCATTACTCTAGCGAGTTGGAGGACTGCCCCGGAGGCGAGCAGAAGGCAAGGGAGCGGGCTTCACAAACCAAGGAGGCTCAAGGTGGGAGAAGCCGGAAGCGGGATGGGTGAAGATCAATGTAGATGCGGTGAATAACGCTCACACCGGAAATTGGGCTTGGGGTTGGATAGGCAGAGATAGTAGCAAATGTTTTCTCCGGGCACGTAGCCGGGTGGCTAAGGCAGTCTGGGATCCCGTGGAAGCGGGGGCGATTGGAGTTAGGGAAGGGGTGAGAGAAGTTGGATGGGATAAAATAGTGGTTGAAACAGATGCAGCATTGGTCTTGCCAAGTATATAAGGCGATGCTTGTGATGCACAATAGGAGTCATTTTTGAAGATATCAAATTTTTAATTAATGAGTTCCATAATGTTAAAGTCCAGTGGTGTAGGCGATCAGCGAAACAAGTGGCTCAGCTAGTGTGACTGTTTCTATGTCAGGTAGCGAGATTGATTTTTCTATTCCTCTGAACTTTATTGTAAGTCAATTGACCAATGATCTTTTAATATAATTTGGCGGTCTTACTTAAAAAAAACAATGAATAATGATTCTTTCAAAAAAAACAACGAATAATGATCATTGATCAAAGCTTCCTTGCACAGAATGTGTCCTAAACAAAATACTACCAAAATGAGTTGTAGAACCCTTTGTAATATTGAAATTGAAAATGAGATGAATTGTTGAAAATGGTTAAATATAAAAGTAACAAATAGTAAAATAAAATTAACTTCAACGACAATATTTTGATTATTATTTAGTTTAGTGCACGAAATTAAAAGATACTCTGTACATTTTTGAAAATTATTCCTTCAATCCCGTAAGATTTGTCCAACTTTACATCAAATAACAATATCTTTAAGACGGCTAAATAAGGGTTATCTCTTATTGCTAAACTAAAAATAAGAATTACTCTCTCTATCCCTAAAAATACTTTCAACTTTCCTTTTTGGGCGTTCCAAAATAAACTTTCACTTTCCCTTTTTGGCAAAGAATTTGTGATTCACATCAATTCTTACACATTTCTCTCTCCTCTGTACAACTCTCTATCACATAATACCCACTATCTTAATCCCCGTGCCATTTGTACTATGGAAGTAAATTTAAGGACGGAGGGAGTATTACTTATTCCTTTTATCATTGAAAGGTTGAATCCCTAACCTAAAGGCGGCTAAGCTCTGACATGATAGATCATATGAGAGGTTGTAAATCATGGTGATTCAAGTAGTCATAACATGGTAGACTTTATACTCGTGCGTACCAAAAGATCAGCTCATCACACATGAGTTGTGACCTCCATACGGTCACTGCAGATTATTGTCCAAACTTTTCCACCGCTTTATCAATTGAGCTATCTATATGTGTCAGAGTTATTTCTTATTTCTATTGTTTTTGCGTGTTATCAACGATCACGTCGAAAATAGAAAATGTTACATCCTCATTAGTACGGCTCATCACTTGGAGGAAACATATTTAATATTAATACTAGGGGTGTATAAAACTGAAAAATCGAAATTGACAAATCGATCGAAACAAACCGACCACAATTGAACCATCTAAAAACAAAACCAACCAGAACCTATTGAATGAAACCGAACTAACCAAAACATACTAAAGTATTGGCAGTCCAGTTTATAGTTTATACTTTTGCGTTAGAAAACTGACCAGACAAAACCCCAACAAAATATGCTAAAAAAAACGAAATCAATACAAACAAACCGAGACCGAGTCAAGTTTTGTGGACAATTAAGTTTACATCATTTTAATATCATATTAGCCTCAAAAAATTTTAATTAGGATAACATTAAAAATTTCTAGTACCAGTATAACTTTTTTTCTATAAAATGGTCTCGGAGTTATAGATGAGCTAAATATAAAATAGTACATATTATATGAAGTAAAATCATACAGAGTGTTTATGAACAAAGGAACAAAGGCAAATTCAAAAGGTATAGTTATGGGCCTATGGCATGTTAGCTTCACGCCTTCACCACTAATAATAGTTTTTTGAAATAAAAAAAAATTATTTCAAAAAAAAAGTTATAAAAAATTGTTTACTTCATAATGTTCAACAATACTCGTATCACTGAATTAATGAATGTCATGTTTTCCGTGATTGTGATTTGAAATGATTGTATTGGTGACCAATGGTGGTCAGGTGGCCTTCAGTTTTCTATACCCTTAAATATATTTATCCACGTTTTATTCTTCGGCATTTCATTATACTGCGCAACAAATATTTTTTATGTAAAAAAACCATGCTAAATCTTGCACCAGAATACCTTCCAAAGTCCCAAACAAACTGCAACTCCAACCTTATTAATATCAAACCTGAATTATCCTCACATTACACCATATATTACATGAAGACATGAAGTTCAAAGTTCAAACTTCACTAGCAACTTAATGTCAAGCAAAGACAACCACAACCAATGCACAGCCAGACACTGAAAGACACAAACTCAGAGAACATGCTAGCAGACAATTAACAACATGAATAATGCTAAGAAACAAATAAGTAATAATGATACAACGAAAGACTCATAAACAAGACACACAAAGAGGTGGTAACTGAAGCATCTTCTCAAAACGGGAACATATCAGCAGATGCAACAATGGGTTGTGTAGGACAAGGCAGCTGCCACGGCTCAAGCAGAACATCGGGAATCTCATGGATATCCTCCACCACAGTCTCATTAACCTCTGCCCAAAGATGGAGGAGTGAATTCATAGACTGCAAGCGATCTGCCAGCTCAGCACATTGAGCCCTCAAAACGTCATTCTCAGTAGAAAGCAGTGCAAGGCCTTGACACAGACTATCAATTTGCTGCTTGCAAACACTCTGCTCGTTCTGGAGGAGAGCCCTCTGGCTACACAGCTCCTCCACATGCTGTTGCTTCCTCAGACGAGATCTCTTGGCAGACTCACGGTTGGATATCATTCTCTTTCTTTTCTTCTCGTCATACATTGCATAACGCTGTTCGGCATCAGACGATGATCCAGAATGTGCAGGCTGCTGTTGCACAGAAGAAGCCATTTCTTTCTTTCGAAATAGATGATTTTGTATTTCAAGATTGGGTAGATTATAATTACAAAACAGAAACGCTTGACAGAAACTATGGACTGGGCTAGGAAATGAGAAATCTTTTGAACACACAATTGATTAGGGAAGAAGTTTGAGATTTTGCAGAATTGAGGGGGTCAGTTCATGAGAATACGTAAAACCAGTAAAGAAAGACAACTGAAAAAGAGTGGAGGATACGAATTCTACGCATTAGGATGGAATTCATGTAGGAAACATTGATAGATGTATTTGTACAGATCTAAAACCAGAATTGAGAAATTAAAGTTGGAATATCAAAAGTGACCCTAGGTTGGGATATATCGATAAAAATATCAGAGAGGACAATAATCCTGAAACGTTTGACTGTAGATCGAGCGAGCAGTCTTTGAACGATTAGATCTGCGCATAAAAAGCAAAATCACCCACAGATAAAACTTATTGATCAGCAACATAAGCATAAAGCAGATCAGAGAAAGCAAAAGCAAGCAAACCAATAAAATCACGTGAATCAGCCACAAAAGAATTAGGCAAATAACGAGTCTAATAAAAGTCAAGTAAATCAGACACCATGGCATCGAAGCTCGAACAAACAGGTAACATTGAAGTTTGATAAAACAGCAATACTGAAGTCAATTGAATCAAGAACACCAGAACTTAATACTAGTATATCAACAACACAAAAGAAATAAGCAGTAGATAAAAATACAGGAAAAAAAACTAGAAGTCAATTTCGAAAATTAACATATTAAAATAAAAGACAGAAAAGCGAAAAACGATGCTTACCTGAGGAAGAAGAGGTCGCCTGAGATTTTCAACGACACGGTCGTAGGAAGGTTTTAAGGAGGATAAGGGATGGTATTTATAGGCCGCGGAGAGATTATTCATGTGTTGGTAGGAAGTACGTAGTAGGTGGCAATACTTTATCCTAATTATTACGGATTAGAGCACGTTTATTTTTCTACCATTTTTGTTGTTAGAAATTGTTAGAACGGATTATTTATTTTTCTAAATAAATCAAATAATTTGTGTTCGATTTGTGATTTGCATTCGTATAAGATTATTTGTATCTGAAAAAATCAAATACAAATAAGAATATTAAACTTGATTTGAATTGTTATCAAATACAAATAAGAATATCAGTGTATTCGATTCGAATATTAATCGAATATATTAATAATATATTCGATTAATAGTAGTGATAATATTATAATAATATTAATATTAATAATTATAGTAATAATACTATAATAACTTTTAAAAGATAGTTATACACTCAAAGTGTATCCCATCTATATATTTATGTATACAAATTTCAAGCGCATCAGAAGAATCACACGGATTAAGGATTGTAAAGGAACCAAATAATTTTATTTCAATTCATGATTTGAATTCAAAATCTATGATTTAAATTTGAAAATATAGAATATAAATACGAATACAAATCAGATTTTAGGTTCAAATATCTTTCAAATACGAATACAAATAATTATTTATTCGATTCAAAGAATAAAATTAAATTCATTTGACTATGATATATACAATTATCAACTTATTTCACACTATAAATATAATTTGTAATGTATGTGTTAGTGTTTATCTCAAAAAGTTTGAAATAGATTTATATTTATTAATCATATAATTGATTGACTTTAGTTTATTGTGCACAACCTAAAAATGCATCGACCCATTAAATCATCATCATCATCACCCCAGTGCCGCAAAGGCTTCCACCTACGGTGGGGTAAGGGGGGTCGGATGTACGCAGTCTTACCCCTGTACTAAAGTACAAAGAGACGGTTTCCGAATGACTCGTAGTGAAAAACGCGTCGAAAATTGCATAGAGTGACTGATACTTCATAACAAAGAACCGCAGACAACTTAAATTTTAAAGAAAAATGTACTTGTACAAATTAAATCTTAAAAACAAATATTAAGTCATAGCATGCATTTATAACGTGAAAAGTATAAGAAAAACCACTTTAAAGTGATATTTGACTAATATTTAACTTAAAAAAAGACTAATATTTAACTTATGCTCAAATTGATTCAATATTCGTATATGATTCGTTAATTATTCGTATTGTTAAACAAATACAAATCAAAATTAATATGCGTTTCATATTCGAATTCGGATTCGAAAAATTAAACAAATACAAATACAAAATTTCACTCTTCGACTTGATTCAGTTCGTATACAATCCTACTCCCATATAAGCTCACATGTTGACTTTTTAAGTCAAACTTTGACCGTTAATTAGTCAAAAATCATACGGAGTATTATTTTATAATACCAAAATAATTTTGATTGCTTCATTTTAATATATATTATTCATATACTCCCTCCGTCCCATTGGACTTTGTCAACTTTCCTTTTTTTATTGTCCCAAAAAACTTTGCATGTTTCATATTAAAGCAACTAATTTGTGGTTTTGCACATTTTTCTCTCCTCTGCACAAATCCCAACCACACAGTTTTTACTATTCTTATTTTTCACGTACTTTGCACTTGGCAAAGTCTATCGGGACGGAGGTAG